GGGCAGCCGGCGGCGGCGGCGGCGGCCGACGACCACGTCGACGAGGACGGCGGCGGAGGCCGCGGGAGGTCGCGGCCAGCGGCTTCGCGGCGACCGCAGCGGCGTCGGCGGCGGCGTCGGCCTCATCGTCGGCGTCGGCGTCGGCGTCGGCGCCGCCATTGCCGCCGCCCTACGCCCCAGCACGTGTACGCATAGAGAGGTGACGACCTCCACGCTCCAGCCCAATGAGGCAAGGACCACGTCCTGATGAGAGTGCGAATGCGAAATGCGAATACTACGCCCCGACAGGAGCCAGCCGCGCGCGAAGAAGCTGGACCGGCCAGGGCGCTGGGCTTGCCGGCGCCGCGCCGCGCCCGGCGCGCCGGCGGAGGCGCCCTCGCCAGACGAGGTCGCGAGCTGCGCCGTCCAGGACTCGGGGTAAGTCGGCCTGTCCCTCTACAGGAGTAATATTCAAAGATAGTCAAAATTGTCAGGGGATGATTTTTGTAATTATTTTTGACTATTTGGGGGCATTGTTTTACTATTTTATTAATTTCTTCCAAAATCCGCCTGCAGGGGGATATGCCCGACCTAAGACTCGGGGCCCTGGACCCCAGACCGCGTCGATTTATGAACCAGAGTCACGATGAGAGATCTCTGGACGTTTGCGGCCTCTGGGGCCCTGACCAGGCCCTGGGGCCGTCAAAGAACGATTCGGGACGAGAAGCTTGTCCGGGGGAAGGGGTACTCAGACCTCAGGAGGGCCACGCTGCAAAACAAGCACGAGGTCGGGATTCTCGATTGTGCCGTTCCAGAGGGTCCAGAGAGCGGGGTGAATGGTTCATCCTCCACCTTCTCCGCCACTTCCTCCTGCTCCTCCCGCCCCCCTCTCTTCTTCTCTTTCCTTTCCCTCCTCCTCCCCTCACCTCTTATCCACATACTCGTCCTCCCCCATCTTCGCCTCCTCCTCCTCCTCATCATCATCATCATCATCATCATCATCATCATCATCATAATCATCATCATCATCATCATCATCAGCATCAACAGCATCAACAGCATCATCATTATCAGCAGCATCATCATCGTCGTCGTCATCGCCATCACCATCATAATCATCCTAATCATCATCATCATCATCATCATCATCATCATCATTATCATCATCATCATCATCATCATCAGCACCATCATATTTCTGCCCCTGGTCCCGATATTATTCCGTGTGGTTGTTGGGCGGTTCCTGAAGCTATTGATGTCTGTTTGATGTGTACGAAGCAGTTTATGATAGTAGAGGTGCTACTCTTCCTGGGGACTGTCGCATCAGTAGAATGGTATTCCTGCGGAAGGGGGGAGAACCTGCCGATCTGGGTGCGATTGTGTCGAGGCTGCCTGGTTCTACCCGCCCCCTCACTCTCTCCAACACGGACGCTCAGATTCTCCCAGGCGTGTTCGTATCTAGTTCGCTGATTTCCGGGCGACCTTCCATCGATTCTCTAGGCGTTGATTTTCCAGGTTCCCAGGGCCAAGTGCATCCCGCAGGCGGTCATTGGTTCTGATATCTCGCTGCATGGGAGTAACATTGCACGGGTCAATTTCGCTGGGGCAGCGGAGATCAGACCCCCGGTCGTGCGTGGAGCAAGGCAGGAAGTTCCGTCGTCATCGATGACTCTCTCTCCTCTCTGGCGTTGGACCCAGTTCCTACATGGATCAAGTACCAACGCACACCCAGGCTTGATCTGGAGCTTGCGTATGCTGATGGCTGTCTCTCCAGTATGCATAGTATCTTTGTCGATGTCCTCTGTTTCTCGGGTTCGACCTGTTATCATATGCCATCGGTCTCCCTTTGAACATCGGCAAATGCTGCGTGCTAGTTTCTGGGACCTGCTCTTGCGAGCGTCTCTCTCAGCACATGAGGAGGAAGAGGAGTCGGTCCCACGCAATAAAATTCGAGTTCCACGTGCTGTAACTTGGGTTCTGGGTTGGGCCGACAGCTCACGCTGTGGCGTGTCGGGAAGTCCTGATTACGTTCTGGCAGAAGGGACGACATCTTCGGTCTCTTTCCTTGGGACTTCCGATGACGATTCGGCTTTTCCATTCGGACTGCTTATCCGTACTACAATATCGGCTTCAACTCGTTCGGGTCGCTCCAGAGGTTGCTAAGCAATATCGGGGGGCGGTGCAGATCTTCACGGTTGGTCCCAGGCACTCGCTCATTGTATGTCTATTCAGCTTCGAGGGCTTTGGGGATTCCATTTGAATGTGTGGATTTGCAGTTGATGTCGAAGGCGACTAAATTCCGTGTATTGGTCGAATGTAAGGCGATTCGCTTGGTTTTGTGTGGCCTGGAGCTGCTGATTAATGGTATGTGTGATGACCGGTGCTGAAATTTGCGCCATCCTGAAGACCCGCGCTCACCACCGCCTAGGCACTGCACTTCCTCCGCAACATGTATTTCATGCACGGCCGCCAGTTCGTGCCAGGCGGTATAAGGAGGTTGCCACGATTTTCCGCTACCGCTCCTGACCATGGGATCCAAGGGTTTGGTCTCTTTTCAGCCGTTGGGCCCTGATCCCGCTATGTACCTGTTTTCCTGGAATCGCTGTTTCCCTCTCGCCATGCATGCGATGCGCCAAATATGCCGTGGCCAAGGCGGGCTCCTGGGAGAGCGAGGGTAACGACGGCCACTCCGACTGTCCCACCGTCCCCAGGCATTCGTGATGTTTTTGTCGCGCCCCCTGGCCCTCGGCGGTGCCCTCTCTTCTAGTTCCTCGTTGTTCCTTCACGCGGTGTCCTGGGTCTTGCTTCGTGCCGCTTCCGCGTGTCCTTACATCAGTGCCCCTGTTCACTGGCCCTTAGGGCCGGGTGGACCGCGTTCAGTCCTTTCCTTTGTGTCGTTGTGTTTATATAGTATGAGTTTGTCCCTGGGCGTATCGAGCTCGGTGAATTGATTGATCATGGTTCTGAGGATCCTGAATCCCCCTGTTCAAGTTCGTCTCCTTCCCTGATCCTTCCCCTGCCTCCCTCGCCTGCGGGATGGTGGTGCGCTGTTGGGGGCTCGTGTTTGTCTTCGCTCTTGTCTCCTGCGTTGCTCCCCTGCTGCTCTTGCTGGTCGTCGCTGTAGTTGCTGGTCTGCGCCCTCTTCTGCGTGTCCCCCTGCTGCTGCTCCGCGGTGCCGCGTCTCAGAGATCCCCTTCACGTCAGGCCTTTCAGATGGGGTGCGAGCAGATGGGGTCGGCGGATCGCTCCGCAACGCCGCTGCATCGGCGATGCGGCTCAGTGTGGAACCCGATCCCATTTTCTCCACGCCGACGGCGCCGATGCATTGCGGCCGTCGCCGATGTATCGCCAAAGCACTGGCGATGCACTGGGGAGACCATTGTGCACCCCATCTTTGATGGTCCGACCCCACGTGCTCGGACCCCACCTGGGAGGCCTCTGCGCACCCCGCCCATGGTTCTGCGGCCCTCCTGCCGCCGTCTTGTGCACGGACCCCCCCGGCAGGAGGCCGCGGCGAAGGCCATCAGCAGCGCGGCGTACAACCACCCCGCGCCCGCGGTCGCTCGGCCCCGCTCCCCGATGCGTTGGGGTGGGGGACCTGGCTTCGGACCCGACTCGCTCGCGTTCGAAGACCGGCACCAGTTCGCTGCGCGTCTTGAGACGGATTCGTTGCCGTCAGGGGCAACGATAGGGGGGATAGGATCAAGGGGGACGCATCGACCCCCAATCGCCCATTCATGGCCGATAGGGGCCTCGTAACCGAAATTTGCCCTTGACCGTGCGGATTTGCTATCGGGGACCCATCGCCGATCTATCAGCGATGTATCGCCGATTCTGGCCCGGTGCTCCCATGTGGGCGTTGCCACGGAAGGATGCCCGCGTAAGGCAGATTGTCTTTCGCCCCGCACAGCCGCTGCTGGTGTTGGACCACAGTTGTTGTTGGGCATCGCACCCAGTTTTTCTCCAAACCCGTTTCGCGCGTCCAAGTCGGAGGAGTTTCCCAGCCTCTCTGGGGTGAGGCGGGCCGACCGACCGCGGGCACCGCCAACCAGCGGCTCTTCGTGGAGGGCGGCTGCATACAGCTGCTGGCGGCGCAGCTGCGGTGGGGCCCGGGGCCGGCGCAGCTGGAGGCCCTGCTCGTCCGCGCGAGTCCAGCGGCCTCCCGCCGGTCTCCCGCCGCCCCCACGCTCCCCTCCCCTCCTCGTTGGCGCTCATCGCTTCCTCTCCCTGCTCCCTGATTTCCCCCACCCCACCCCTTCCTTGCTCCTTCTCCTCCCGCTCCTGCTCCTGCTCACTCTCCTCGATCGCTGCAGAAGGGGCAGAAGCGCTATCAGTGACGCTTCGCGGAGGTGCGCTGTCTGCCATTTGAAAACGGCCCAAATTTTCGTCAAGTTTGATCGTCAAGATCACCCTTGCAATTTGTTACGTGGGCTTCGGCCCTGCTCACTCTCACTCCTCCTGCGTCCCCGCTCCTCTTCCTCCCTCCGTCTTTCACGTCTTCCGTGTTGCTCCCCCCTCCTGCCCCCGGATGCATGAATGAATGAATGAATGAAGTCGCGTGTCCGCAGGCACATGAGAAATGGCACGAGCGTGCGTTAGACAGCATACTTTGCGCATTGCTGCGTTCCAGGCTTCGCTGGATTGGTGCCCACATTATTTCTATTGCAACCAACTTCACGACAAATACGCTGCGCATGCTCATACAATTCTGACGCCCGCGCCTGCCGGGGCCTGCCCCTCTTTCGGCGGCCGGGCTGCTGCGTCAAGTCAGAAGAGGAAGGTTGGAGAACGATTTGCTTCACAGGATGCTCGCTGCGCTTGCGTGCAATACCACCGAACAAAATCAATTGCCGCTGCAACAGAAGGTCGCTGAGCTTGGTGCGCTGGGCTCGTTGTAGAACCTCGGCGTTCGGGACGCGACTGACACATGAATGCGCTGCGCCTTGAACTTGTGCCTAGAATTTGCGCAGAACCTGTGCGCTATCCTGTTCCCCGAGGCCGCGCGAACGCTGTGCAACGTGATGTGCACGGACGGATCCAGGGAGCTGCTCATGGCGGAGGCAGCGTGCCGCTGCGACGCCGCCAAGGGGGGGAAGGCCCCAGGGGCTCCCAGGAGAGCCCCAGGACGCCCCGAGAGAGCACCGAGAAGGGGGACTGGGGGCGAGAGCGCATGACAGCACAAGAATGCTCAAAAGTGCCCCCTGCACAGCTTGAGGAACGAGCGACGAGCTAGGAGGCGGGAGCGAGGGACGAGGTCGTGTATTTCCTGACGCGGGGAGATGTCGTATTCGTCCCCATCCTCACCTCATCATTCGGTTCCTCCTCAAGCGGGCCTGCGCAGATCGAGTGGCACCGCATACATCGTTTCAAACGCGTAGGACCAGGATGTTCTACCGAATGGAAGCCTCCGCACGAGCGGATTGAGTAGATCACACTCCTTATGTCCCCCTGGCCCTAGGGGGCGAACGTCTGAAGAGGAGGAGGAGGAGGAGGAGGAGGAGGAGGAGGAGAGGTGAGGACGAGGTGGAGGAGACCGCGCATGGAGGCAGGATAAAGAAGATGTGAGCGGACGTGTTTCAGCCCTTGTTGGTCTTTATCGCCACGACCATCAGGGGCCCATCGTTGCCAAGCATGGGGGGAGGGGGGAGAGGCCTTTCCAGCATCACCAGTGCATACGCAACTCGTCTACAAACATTGGCCCCAACAGTTGCGGATGAAAGTGAGGGGTCGTTGGCTAAGCGGGCCGCAGGCGGGTTGCCGTTGAATCGCGGGGGCTTTGGGGAGCATTTTAGGGGCCTTTTGGGGGCTTGCGGGCGGTCTTACTGGGGCCGTCCGTGGGGCTTCTTGGGCCCTCTGGGGGGCCTCGGATGCCGTCGTGGGGCAATCCTGGGGTCTCTTGGGTCGTCCTGGCTCGTATGCAGAAGATCATACAGGAGCTCTAGCCTGTGCAACGATGATGGCTTCTTGGGCTGGCCCCCAGGGGCCTCCAAGACGGCCGGAGAGGCCATCTCCTCGGCATCGCTCAGACGCATGCATTGTTCCTCGGCGAGGGCCATCCGGGAGCATCCTGAATCATCTTGCGGAAAAAAACACATGCACGAAACCGAAACCTGCACGGAAAACAGACGTCCGAGCGATTGCGAGTGCCGAGGCCTCAGGAAAAGTCACGCGGAGATTTCCCAGGAGCGCCCGCGGTTCGGAGTTACGGTCCCCTGAAAGAGCGTCCACGATACCCAATACAGAGAGCTCGAAGGGGCCCGAGGACACTCCTCGCAGTGCTCATGGCGCAGATTCACACGCGTACGCACTTCGCACTCCAGCGACCGACTTGTCATATAGAGATCGTATGGCTGCGCTGCAGGCACGCCACACTCATGTAAGTACATGGTCTGCCGTCTAGCTGCCCTGCAGCGTGACACTGCCATGTCAGGTCTAGCTCGAGCCAGCCTCCCATTTATTGCAAAGGCCTTACGGCTGGCTCCGCCGACCCTGAGAAGAAACCAGTGCAGGCGTAAGAGGCGAAAGGGGTACGAAGACAAGGGGCTATGGCGGCCTTGAGGCGAGGGCGAACATCTAGCCTATCCCGCAACTGCGCTGACGTCGTGTTGCAGATGCTCTGGGAGTAGGTTTAGGGGCTCTTGGAGGGCTTATTTGGGGGATCTGGGGGGCCTGTGAGGCCCACTTGGGTGCCTACTGGGGCCTCTCGGGGGTAGCGGACTTCAGGCTGCGCGGAGGTCGCGCACTTGCTCAGCCCCTATTTGGGACGTCTTGGAGCTTATTGGGCCCCTCTGGGGGCCTCTTGGGTCCCTCCGGGGACCACTTGGGCTAGATTGGGACTGTTTTGGGGGCTTCTCGGACGCACTTGTGACCGATGCGGCGATAATGCCAACATCTCACAAAAGACGAAAGCCGAGGGGACTCAACTGGTTTGGGCGTCTTGGGCCGGCTCCCATGGTAGACTCCCAAGAGCGCGGAAGCTGGCCGGGGTTGGCCCTTAGAGGGCCCTAGCGGGTCTAGGTGGCACAAAGGGGGCCAAGTTGGCCCCAAGATCGCCCGAGCCACGCCATGCAGGGGAGGGGGGAGGGCGGAGGGGCACACTCCCCCGGACTGGCGAGCTGGGAGTTGCGTCTATCCACCTGGTGTTGGCGAGCTTGGAGAGCCCCGGGTGGCCGCGGGGAATGGGGGGGAGAGCGCTTCGACATGGTCGGCGGTGTTCGCGACTATTCCGTGAACTTTGCCGAACCACACTGGGGCCCCGCCGCCCCCCCCTCCCCCCCCCCCCCCCCCCCCCCCCCACACACACACACACACACACACACACACACACACACACACACACACACGTACACCGCATCGCGATTGAGAAGATATCCACATGTAATTTACAGCCAAGCGGTCATGACTGTCACCCGATAGCTCTTTCGCAACGAGCATCTCTCTACATCATAGCGGCGTTGTGGCTGCATCGTTGTCACCCCAGAGCTGCTTCATGGATAAAGTGTAGCTCTAGTCTAGACGCCAGCAGCTCAATGACGATTTTACACGGCACTGTTCAAATCAATTGCATGTTTCTTAAAATTTAAAATGTACACAGTCGTTGCATCACCGCGGACACCTTAGAATATTGGCCAGCTCTGGTCTTTCTGGCTAGTGTCTGGTAGTCATGGGACAGCGCCGATTTAACCTCAACTAGCGTCGGTTAGGCGTCGACTATTGTCGATTAGCGTCGGTTAGCGTCGATCCGCAAAATGGTACGAGAGGCTTGCATGAGTTGCCACCGAAAGGGGGGTGAGGAAGGGAGGGGAGAGGAGAGGAAGGGCGAGGGCGGGGACGAGGGGGACGGCCAGTGGCGCCAAGATGACGTGCACGGGGGCCGTGGTCTCGCTCGTGGCGCGAGTCCGAGGGTCTGGGAGCGCCATCCGTCCAGCTTTTGCTAGCACAGAGACGCAGACAAGAGAGCGGCGACAGAGGGCCCAAAGTGCATTCATGAAGCCCGATGGCATGACCAGAGGAGCTAACTGGGAGTGCGCGCGGGTCAGTCGAGACCCCACCCAGAACAACACCGAACCACAGAGGGGGCGTAGGCCAACGTGGGACGAACGTCCTCCTTAGGGTGCATGGGTCTGCCCTTTTGTCTGTTCCCCGGATCCAATTGAGACGCGCATGGCATGACGCAAAGGGCGGGGACACGTAGGGCGTCTGGGTGCTCGGATGAGTGAAAGTCGATCGCCATGAGTAGACGTATGCGAGCTTAGAGCGCACACCTTCAGCATGGAAGGTTACGCGCACAGTGTCCATTCAGCGTGCCAACCGCACAGCTGGGCGTGACTCGCACTTTTGCGCCGCGCCTTGGAAACGATCACTCAATCATAGCCCTCAGGAGGGAGTTCTGCCGGTGCTGGTCGAGCTGATGCGCAGCAGCGTCCAGAGCTTACGGGAAGTGCCCGCAACCATCATCGGCAACCTCGCCTCGGACCACGCGAACCGCACGAGGCTCGCGGCGGCGGGGTGCGTGGCGCCGCTGATCGAGCAGGTGCGGTCTGGCAGCGCCCAGGGCAAGAAGTGGGCCACGCTGGCGCTGATGGCCCTGGCGGAGGGCAGCCACGGCATCAAGACCCAGTTGGCAGAGGCGGGCGCGATCCCGGCGCTGGTGGCGCTGGGGAAGTCCGGCGAGCCCCAGGCCGGGGAGCGGCACGAGTCCACCGTCCAGCCCTGCCCTCCCGCCCCCACCCTTCTCCCGCCCTCCCCTCTCCCGCCCCCCTCCCCCCTTCTTCTGCCCCCACCCCCGCCGCCCTCCTGCCCCCCGCTTCCCGCCGCCCGCCCCCGCTGTCTCCAGGCGTCCGGCGTCGTGGAAGAGTCACAGCGTCGCGAAAAATTTGCCATTCACCTTTGTGCGCCTTGTTGCAAGAGGGTCGAGCCGTGAGTCCCGGGTCCCTGGGCCCGAAACTGGAGCCTCGAAGTCCGTTGTGATTTGATTGTAGTCGCCGCATTTGGATATGGGGAGGAGGAGGAGGAGGAGGAGGAGGAGGAGGACCAGTGTCAACCGAGGAGGAGCGTGTGAAGAAAGGGAGGCAGGAAGGATGAGGAGGAGGAGGAAAGTCTTTGTTCGAGAAGGTTTTCAGGAAACGAGAGAGAAGCCTAGGGTCGGGGGTGGGGGCGATGAGATGCCCACTCTTTCGTTCTGCCCCTGCGCAGGCGGTTGTCCTGGCCTCCAAGGCGCTAGGCGCCCTCACCAGCGGGCACACTGGCAACCAGGCGGGGGCGGGAGGGGGAGGAGGAGGAGGAGGAGGAGGAGGAGGAGGAGGAGGAGGAGGAGGAGGAGGAGGAGGAGGACCAGTGCAAATCCAAGGCCCACCAACGATAAGAAACTCTCCCTCCAAGTTCCCCATTCATGGGCCCCTAGAAGGCCCCGTTGGAAGACAATCGTTGGAAAATCCTGAGATGCGCCAGAGCACCATTCCTGGGACATCAACGCCGCGAATTGCAGTTACTGTTGCGTCTTGAGTCTTTACGATCCTAACTCGTGCCAGAGCACCGTCCCTGAACTCCAACAGCACGAATCAACATAGCTGTTGCGCCCTTGCAGCCCGACATCGCGCCAACGCACCATTTCTTTCTGGGACGCTAACCATGAGATGTCTGGAAACTGCTGCACAGTGTTAGAACGAATGTGCGCGGCGCCAAGGCGTGAGCCACATGTTGAAAAGGAACCGCCCTCCATCCGTGAAGCTCCTGCAGGTTCTCAAGGCGGGGGTGCGCCACGCTAATCCGAGAGCCACATTTTGAAAACGGCCCGCCCTCAATATGTTAAGCCCTTGCAGTTTTAAACAACGGATGTGCGCGGCGCTAAGGCGAGAACCACATTTTGCAAACGACCCGCCTTCCGGCCGTGAATATGTTGAATTCCCGACCTTGTGTTGAGTTCTCGTTTTGGATATAGCATTGCGATCGCGTCTCCTTCTCCTTCTCCTGCCTTTTTTTCCTCCCCCCTCCTCTTGCCTCCTGCTGCGCTGCTCCCTGGGTGGCTTCGAACTGTGCAGCTGTCGCCACTTTCGCGGGCGCATGGGAGGCACGGCGGAGTCGGGGAGTAAACGGATCCATTTGAGACCTCGCAGTTCCCTGGGTGGCTGCGAATTGTGCAACTGTCGCCACTTTCGTGGGCTCCTGGGAGGCACGGCGGAGACGGGGAGTCAACGGACCCATGTGATACCTTGCAGCTCCTGGGGGGGGTGCGAGCTGCGCAACTGTCGCCACTTCCGTGGGCTCTTGGGAGGCACGGCGGAGTCGGGGAGCCAACGAATCATTCGAGACCTCGTTGCTCCCTGGGTGGCTGCGATCTGTGCAATTGTCGCCACTGTCGTGGTCTCCTGGGGGGCACGGCGGAGTCGAGGAGCCAACCAATCATTCGAGACCTCGTTGCTCCTTGGGTGGCTGCGAATTGTGCAATTGTCGCCACTTTCGTGGGCGCCTTGGAGGCACGGCGGAGTCGGGGAGTTAACGGATCCATTTGAGACCTCGCAGCTCATTGGGTGGTTGCGAATTCCGCAATTGTCGCCACTTTCGTTGGCTCCTGGGGGGCACGGCGGAGTCGGGGCGTCAACGCACCTATTTGAGACTTCGCAGCTCCCAGGGAGGGCTACGAACTGTGCAATTGTCGTCACTTTCGTTGGCGCCTGGGAGGCGCGAAGGAGTCATGGAGTAAACGGATCAGTTGAGACCTCGTTGTTCCTAAGGTGGTTGCAAACTGTCGCAAATTTCGTGGGCTCCTGGGAGACACGGCGGAGTCGGAGAGTACATGCACATATTTGAGACCTTGCAGCTCATTGGGTGGTTGCGAACTGTGCAACTCTTGCCTCTGTCGTGGTCTCTTGGGAGGCACGGCGGAGTCGGGGAGTCAACGGATCATGTGAGATATCGTTGCTCCATTGATGGTTGCGATCTGTGTAACTGTCGCCATTTCCGTGGGCTCCTGGAAGGCACGGCGGAGTCGGGAAGTTAACGGATCCATTTGAGACCTCGCAGCTCATTGGGTGGCTGCGAATTCTGCAATTCTCGCCACTTTCGTGGGCTCCTGGGAGGCACGGCGGAGTCGGGGCGTCAACGCACATGTATCCGTATATATAGTTGAGACTTCGCAGTTTCCTGTGCGGCTGCGAATTGTGCAACTGTCGCCACTTTCGTGGGCTCCTGGGAGGCACGGCGGAGTCGCGGAATACACGGATCCATTTGGGACCTCGCAGTTGTTTGGGTGTTTGCGAATTGTGCAATTGTCGCCATTTTCGTGGGTTCTTGAGAGGCACGGCGGAGTCGGGGCGTAAACGTATGTATGTGAGACCTCGCAGCTCCCAGGGGCGGTTGCGATATGTGCAACTGTCGCCACTTTCGTGGGCTGCTGGGAGGCACGGCGGGGTCAGGGAGTAAACGGACCCACGTGAGACCTTGCAGCTCCAGGGATGGCTGCGAGCTGCGCAACTGTCGCCACTTTCGTGGGCTCCTGGGAGGCACGGCGGAGTCGGGGAGTAAGCGTGCTCCTTGTGTGGCTGCGAGCTGTGCAACTGTCGCCACTCTTGTGGGCTCCTGTAAGGTCCAGCGGGGTCGGGGGCCATGCGCACCCAGACGAGACCTGTCTGCTCCCTGGCTGGCAGCGATCTGTGCAACTGGCGCCACGTTCGTGGGCTCCTTGAAGATCCAGCGGAGTCGGGGGCCACGCGCACCCAGACGAGACCTCGCTGCTCCCTGGTCAGCTGCGAGCTTTGCAGCTGTCGCCACTTTCGTGGGCTCATGGGAGGCACGCCGGGGTTGGGGGCCACGCGGATCCCGCCGAGGCGTCGTTGCTCCCTGGGTGGCTGCGAACTGCGCAATTGGCGCCACTTTCGTGGGCTTCTAGGAGGTCCAGCGGGGTCGGGAGCCACGCGCACCCAGACGAGACCTCGCTGCTCCCTGGGTAGCTGCGAACATCGCAATTGTCACAGCCTCCGTGGGCTCCTGGGAGGTCCAGCGGAGTCGGGGGCCACGCGCGCCCATTTGAGACCTCGCTGTTCCTTGCAATGCTGCGCAATTTGCAATCGTCGCCACTTTCGCTCGCTCCTGGGAGGGGAGCTAACGCTTCTCGTCTCTGGGGGCCTCCCTGGATGGGTAAGGAGAGAGCTCGTCTCAATAGCTGGGTACGTTCCGAAAGTTTGGTGAGGAGGAGGAGGAGGAGGAGGAGGAGGAGGAGGAGGAGGAGCAGTATACGTAGGAGGAGGAGGGAGGAGGAGGAGGAGGAGGAAAAGGGGAGGGGGAGGGGGAGGGAAAGGGGGAGGGGAGGATGGATATTAGCGATACCCGCTTCGTCTCCTCTCTCCTCGGGTCACCCGATCGCTGCGGCTCGGCTCATCCTGTCGACTCATCCTGTGGCCCTGAACGAATCAGAGCGAGGCGATGCTCTCCCACAGCCCCTCGCCTCTCCTTCCCTGCATCGCCCTGCCTGCATCTCCCTCCTATCCCTACCTCGTCTCTCCTCTTCCTCCTCACCCTTCCCCCACATACTCCTGGCTTGGTCAGGAAGGTGGAGGCGGAGGAGGAGGAGGAGGAGGCGGAGGAGGAGGAGGAGGAGGAGGAGGGGGATAAGGAGGAGGAGCAGGAGCAGGAGCAGGAGCAGGAGCAAGGGCGCGCCAGCCGCCAGGAGCTCGTGCGGCGACACGAAGGCGCGGCGGCACTGGAGCTCGTTGGACGAAATCGCGTGTAAAGCGTACATTGAACGTTTCTGCCGTCGGGGACAGGCGCTTTCAGGGCGGCTGGAGGGTTCAGGCCTCCACGTGCCGCCATGGGGGAGGGAACTCTTCCAGTCGCCCTGGGGGCGCCCCCCCCCCCATGGGCGGAAAAGCTTACATCACCAAGTGATACCAAGATTCGCCTGCAAAGGAGCGGCTGGCCCAGATGGGCGGGCTGAAGATCACCAGCCTCAGCGCAGAGCAAGCCGCTGGGCTGAGGGGGGCGACGGCGGGCTCCGACCCGGCCGCCGGCCAGGCCGAGGAGGATTCGAGGGCCACGTAGCGACGAACCGCGATACGCGCCAGTGAGGCACAGTGTGCGTGTGCCTGCGCCTCGCTGCACAAGGCGTAGACCTCCGTCGTCGTGACGTGCTCGCAGCCCCGGCGCCCGCAGACCCGCGCCTCCAGAGGGGCAGCTCTCGAGCCCACAGGGTGGCAAGACATGAGTTCCCTTGTAGCGAGCCCCCTAGATAGTGGGGGGGCTGTTGCTCACCTCGCGGGGTAGTCGTCAACACTTAGCTCATCTCCCGCGGGTAGTCGTCTACATTGCTCATCCCCTGCGGGTAGTAGTCTAACCCCTGTGTGAGGCAGTTGTTGTTGACTCATTGTTCAGGCATCTCTTTATCCGTAAGGGCTTCGCTCCCTGCTGCCGGCCCCCTCTCAGACTGGGATAGATCAGAGTCGCGTCGGTGCGTCTCGGCGCTGCCTTGGCGCATCTGGGAACATCGTGCGGGGGTGGATAGGAAGCATCGGCGCAAATTGAGACGTTGGCGTTATCGAAAACGCCTACGGAGAATCACCGCCACCCCCTGTCTTTTGAAATCGCCCATGTGGCCGAGCGTTGTGGCAAGAGCTCTGCCAGGCTATCGGAACATGTGTTCCCCCAACCGTTGTGGAAACCCTTCGGGGAACATTTGGGGGAGGATGGCGGGTAAGATCAGGAGGAGGAGGAGGAGGAGGAGGAGGAGGAGGGGGCATCTTGGGAGCCTCTGGGGGCACTCCTGCCGCTTCGACTACAGCGTTCAGTGCGCCGTCGTTCGCCCATGGGAAGTGGTCCACGCTGCACAGGTGCGTCCAACTCGTTTCTTGCATCATCCACGCGTGGAAGAACGAGTTTGACCCTCGCCTGCACGGCAATGTGCACGACCGCACCTTGTATGATATTGCGTCGTCGGCGTTGGCCTCCCCGACTTGAGAGTCGCGAGTGTTGGATTCTGTGACGCGGTTCGCGGGCTGGCATGCGCCGCAGCAGAACTTCGCAGCAGAACTTCGACGGTCATTGGGGCCCCAAATCACCGGCCACGCCCCTCTCCGGCGCCAGGGGGTGGTCGAACGCGTCGACGGCGTGCCGTCATGTGTTTTTTGGAGGGGGCAGCGATTTGTGCTGCCTCGGTTGGGAGCGGTTCGGGAAATCCGCCGCGTTCTGCGCGCCGCCGCCAGCGAACCAGCTGTGGGCCCCGAGGGCGCCCCCCATGATCGGAGGCGCTTGCATGACACGGGGCACAGGAGGGCCACGCGCCCCCCCCCCCGCCGCTCAAACAGTTGGGAGAAGGAAAAGGGAACGTTGAAGACAAGCAGGCGAAGGAGGACACGGTGGGAGTGATTCGCATGAGGGGGAAGGGGGATACGAAGGCGATGGGAACGATTCGCCTTCGCACCCCCCTTCGCCCTCATCCGATGACATCGGTGATGAAGTCCCCGTCATCGTCATCTCCACCGCCATTATCACCAGCACCGCCATGTCATCATCACCACCATCACCATCACACTAGCCACCATCACCAGCATCCACCGCCATGTCATCATCACCACCATCACCATCACACTAGTTATCATCACCAGCATCACCATCCATCACCGCCACCTCCATTACCATCATCATCACCTATTTCATGCTGAAGAGCACCCCCGCCAGAATTTCCGCAGCCATCACCATAAAGGGCATCATCACCATCACCATCGTCACCGTTACCACCACACTGGCACCACACAATGCGGTGTCGTCAGTGGTCGTTTTTGTAATGCTGGGTTGATGGTTGTGATGCTTGTGGTGATCAGAATGCTGATGATGGCGGTGGCGATGACGGTGATGGTGGTGATGACAAGTAGGTGATGATGATAATGTTGATGATGAGTGTTCCTGGGTCGGCATGTGAACTGTTCATGTGATTGCAATAGGTTGCCTTGATGATGGCCGTAGTTTTTTTACAATCAGGGCTGTATTTTCTTGGCTGGGGATGTTTAGACGTCGCGGGCTTTCCCTGTAACTCGTCCCCCTGCAAATGCCCACCCTGCCAGAACTTGATCAGAATCGGTTTAGCGCGGGGTAGTACACTACCTGCGGGGGGTGAGCACGGCCGCCGCGATTAGAAAGGAACCAGGAGCAAACCTTAAACAATACGAACAGCGAAACCCATGTCTTGCCACCACGGGGCATCAACATCTTGCCCAGAGCGAGTGGAGCCGGCCCTGGGGAAAGGGTCGAGAGTTCGGGGGCCCATGGATTCAGAAACAGAGTGCGACGTCCGAGGTTTGGAGTCACCACGCTGCCTTTCCGGTGCGGCGCACGAGGCTCCTTTGCTGGCATCTCGGACCAGCGCCGATGCACGTTGCAGTGCACCATGCGCCGCACCGTGCAGCGCCACGCAGTGACGTGCGACCTCTGGCTTCGCGCTGCGCTTTGGCGTATCGAATCGCAGCGTGCTATGCTCTACCGTGTTTAGATTCTTCACGCTTCGCGTATCCCCACCAGCCCATCTCAAAACAGCAACTCTAGCGAAGCATGCCGACAGTCGTGTTTTTCAGGCGTGTTTCCGCCTGCCCCCGCATATCTCCCCTGTTCCTCCTTCCTCCCGCCTCCTTGTACATCCTCCTTGTGGTGGGAGCGGGAGAAGGACGAGGCGGAGGAGGAGGGAGAGAAAGCGCTCCTCGTGGTTTGAGTCGTTCGGGCTTCTCGTCCTGGTGTGAGTCGTTCGGGCCCTTCTTCCTGGTGTGAGTCGTTCGGGCTCTTCGTTGTGTGAGTCGTTCGGGCTCTTCGTCCTGGTGTGAGTCGTTCGGGCTTCTCGTGGTGTGCCTCTTGGAGGCCTTTTGGAGAATCTTCGGGGCCTCTTGGCGGCCCCAGGGGCTTCTAGGAGCGTCTGGGGTGCCTTGGGGGAGCCTCTTGGGGCCTCTTGGGAGCCTCTTGGAGGCGGTTTGGGGCGTCTTGGGGGCCTCTTGGCGGCCTCTTGGGAGCATCTTGGGGGCCTCTAGGAGGCCTCTTGGGGGCTCTTGGAGGCCTCTTGGAGGCCTCTTGGAGGGGTCTGGGAGGAATCTTGGGGCCATCTGTCGGGCGATCGATCACAGATGGGGGGAGCACTTTTCTCCCTCCCCCCGTCGGAGCCAGAATCCTCGTGAGGGGTGTCGTTTTTTAGCCCTCCGAGGAGTCGAAAAAGACCCCTCTGACCACCCGCGGGGCGCCCTCTCCAGGCCCAGGGGGAGGGGGTAGGGGGAGGGGTAAACCCCTCCCCGAAGGGGAAGAAGGGGGGTTGAGAACAGAGCGGGCTCTCTAAACCACTCACGCCCAAAGGGCTGGTGGGATTTGTGGCAACTTGGCCAGATAAGGTAGGCACATCAAGTAATAAAGTAGATTGCCAGCTGGTGCACCAGGGAAATATGTGATTCCTTGATCGTCCTGGGGGCATTTGGGACATCCAACGGAGTCGAAAATCGACGGGAAGTGTGTCGTCGGAGCTCTTATTGGACAATTTACTGTTTTACATAAAAGAAATGCAATTTTGCATTCGAGCGTTTCGTTCACGCTGCAGCCAGGGGCCATTCCCCATCCCCTCCCCGAGACCCTCCGAACAATTTTCAAACCACGCAGGGAAACTTCCGAAACCCGCCGTAAAAAAACGCCCGAAGTCAATCAATCTTCCCGCCATCTGCTCCACAATCCCCCCCTGCTCGGCGCGGAGGCCCCCTTGATCCGCAGCCCACCTAAAGTCCGCTGCCCCTGAAGGAGGAGGGGGGGATGAGGGACAGATGGGGAGTGCGGGAGGGAGGGAGGGGAGGCGGAGGGGACAGATGTGTCCTCCTCCTTTCTTCCCCTCGCTCCTCCCTAATTGCCTTCCATATAGTTCCATTCATTATTATCCTCACTCCTTCTCGCCCATCGGCGCACGAACGAAAGGGGTAGAGAAAGGCTTAAGGGCCCCATCCCGAGCCCCGCGTATCTTCCAAATTGACCCTCAGATGGACGGCTTTGAAGAGCTGGAAGAACTCCCTTCTTCTCCTCATCCCCCCTCGCGTCGTCGTCGTCGTCATCGCCGTCGTCGTCGTCGTCCTCCTCCTCCTCCTCCTCCTCCTCCTCCTCTTCCTCCCCCGTGCCGCCGCAGCAGTCGCGGCTCGTGGCCTCCCCGAGCCGCGAGGTTTTCGGGAGTTTTTCAATCGGGGGCTGAGGCCCGCGGTACGGTCGCCCGGCGGGCGTCCCACCCCCCCCCCTTTCCCCGAGGCCGGCATCTGCACGCACAATGACCGCCTCGGGAACCGATGTCACGTGACGTCAGGGTGTGGCTTCAAAACATTTCCCAGGGGCAGCGAGATTCGTTCCCGGACCCACTGTTTTTTGATGGCCGCGAGCCCCGAAAACGGCCCCTGGAGACTTTGACATCGAAGAGAAGCGCCCCAGCGGGAGGGATCGGTTCGCCAGAGGCCTGGGCATACAGTAGGTTTGCGCCGCATTTGCGCGGCGGCGACCCCAGCGCGGGCGTTCAAGTTTAACGCCGCCGGTGGCCCAGACTCGGCCGATGTCGACCAATCTGCGCTATCGGAGAGCCGCGATCGTTCAGGGTTGAACGATCCACGTGTCGCGACGGGAACCAGCCGTAGCAGGCTCCGGCCTCGAGCCCGTGGCGCCATCATCGGGCTCGGCCATGGGCTCCTCTGCGAGGGGAGCCGCCGCCATCGCGCTCGGCGCCGCTGCCGCGGCCTGCGCGCGGGCGGGCGCCGCCGCGGGGCAGGCCGCCGGGTGCAGTGCCCCTGCTCCTGGGGAGCCCCGGGGGCCGACCTTGGCAGAGGGGGGGCTTGCATCGAAGAACCAAAAAAGGCACAGGCATGATGACAATGATGTCTCGAAGGTCCGCGCGAACTTCCTGGATCGGCGTTGGGCTCCCCCATGGCGGCGCTTCCGATGGATCCTTTGCAAAGGCGGTCTCAAACATGTGCGGTCTCAAACATGTACGCAATAGTTCGTGCAACCGCTCGTGCCGGATCGTGCTGTATGCAGGCAGACTGCGTTGCACTGTGCCTCGTTGGCCCGTGAGAGATGGCACGCGCCATGAGCCACAGGATGATCTGTTAGAGATGGCACGCGCCATGAGCCACAGGGTGAACCACTGCATGTGTTCTGCGACCCCATGACGAAAGGCCCCCCTTGCCCGGAAGCCATCTTCGAGGCGGGAATTTATACATGACCACCCCTTGGAGGGTCAGTTTTCGGAGCCTCGGCAGGCGGTGGATATGGACATATTCGGCCCCCCGGGGGCCAAGATATATCCGTATCCGCCGCCCGCTGGGGCACCAGGACGTCGGTTCTCAGGCGGTGGATCTGGATAACCCCCCGCCTCGCACAGTCGAGAGGTCGGGGCGGAAGGGGCGCGGGGCTGGTGGGAAGGGGAGGAGCGGGGCTGGCCGGCTGGGGCGGAGGGGTGCCGCCGTGCCGCGCGCGCGTGCGTGCGGGGATACATCGGGGGGCGGCGGAGCGGGCGCGGGGCTGGCTCGAGCAGGAGATCGGCCGCAGGATTGATTTACCCCAGGACTGGTTTTCGCCTCGGATCAACAAAACAGATGTAGAATGTTCGATGGTCTACGAAAACTCTATGTATGTTTGCGTAGATTCGGCGAAAAACATTCGCGGGGCAAATCAGTTATGCAGACGATCTCCTGCTCGACCAGTGAGAATGGGAGAATGAGTGGGTTGAGGTCCACGCGCCAGCATCATGTCAGCTCCTTCCTGCTGGACTCCCTCCTGCTCCACTCCCTCGCCCTCAGCCTCCGCCTGCTGTTGCTCCATCTCGTCCTCGCCCTCGCCCTCCGCGTTCTCTTGGTATTCGTCCTCCTCCTCCTCGCCGCTTTCAAAAATCGGCTTCCTGACCTGTCCAGGGGTACGTTTCGACGAGAATCCCAGGGCGAGTGCAGCCGTTGTGGAGACGAGGCCCCCACAAAGGCCAGATGTCTCAACGCCGTCGTCGACGTTGTCGTCTTTGTCGTTAGTGCTCGCCTTCCTCATTCTCCCCACCTCCTTCTTGTCATCCTTGTCCCACCCTCCTCCTCCTCCTCCTCCTCCTCATCATCATCATCATCATCATCCTCCTCCTCCTCCTCCTCCTCCTCTTCCCCTCCTCCTCCTCGCCCTTCCGATCCTCTATCCTCGATCCTCGACCTTGCCGTTCATCCTCGCCGCTCGTCGTGCGTCGTGGGGTCGCTGCCGCGAGGCTGCCGCGTTCGCGTGCCCTGGCGTGCAGCCAGTCCCCGACGGCCCGCTGCTGGCGACCCAGGGGGGGGGGGCGAGAGAACGGGCCTCGCGCGGCCCCGCCGCCGTTGCTGGCCCCGCCGCCGTCGCTGGCCGCTGCGGAGAGAACTGGCCTCCCGTGGCGCCGCCGCCGTTGCTGGCCGCCCCATCCTATCCTATCCTTCCTGGTGCCTCCCGCCTCCTCCTTGCTCCCTGCTCCCTCCTCCTCCTCCTCCTCCTCCTCCTCCTCCTCCTCCTCCTCGCCATCGTGGCCGCACCACCGTTGCTGGCCGCTGCGGAGGGAGGAGGAGGAGGGGAGGAGCGGAGGTGCCCGCGGGCGCCCCGTGGGCGCCTCATGTTGGGTGGGTGCGCCGAGGTTTCGCTTGGTGCCCGCCCGTGGGCGCCACGTGAGCTGGATGGGTGTGTCGTGCTTTCACCTGGTGCCGCCCGTTGCCGCTTTGTGTGTGCTTTTTGCGTTGGGCGGGTATACCGAGGTTGCGCTTGGTGCCCGCTCGAGGACGCGTCGTGGGCGCCTCATGCGCTGGGCGGCCGCATAGACTGCACGACATAGCGTTCGCGACATCGCTTTTACAACATAGCTTGCACCCCGTAAACTTCTTACACCACGCAATTCGTCTTCCTTGTTACAGCAGAATCGGCTCTACCCCGCCCCCCACACCCACACGCACACACACACACACACCCACACACACACCCACACACACACACACGCACACACACACACACACACACACACACACGCACACACACACACACACACGCATAGTCCTCGAGGCCGAGGTTAGCCCCCCCTGCGGCGGGCATCGCGCTTTGAAGTTCAAACGGTTGGTCCGTTCACTTCGACATCTCTGTTGCATATCATGTGTCCCCCCCCGCCATCCCTGACAAATAATGCCATCCGCGCGATCTCAAAAGGAAATGCGTCAAGAAACCCTGTGCAAATACACCTTTCCAGGGCCGCACGCGTGCGCACATGTCAAAATCATACCAACCACACTTCTTCGACACGCATTTCAGCATAGAACCTTCAAACCGAATCGTTCGTTATTCAATGGATTGCAGCTTCTCTGCCCGCGCGCACTTATTGGAAGCATTAGAAAACACTTTGGTTTTAGAAATCTCGTACAGAACCCACATCCTCATTTCTCCACGCAGTGCATCCGCGTTGATCTAGCATGCGACTTGTGCACAGTCCGTGTCAAATAGTATTCACCATGAGGCCCACATGCGCGCGCCGCCACGCGCGCGTGTCGAAATCTTGCCTCTTGCCAAACCATGTGTGCTCGAAACGTTTCACAACATAGCTTTTCAGCATCATATGAAATAACACAAGTGCTCTACAAAGAAGGGTCTGCCAGATGTATTGGATTTCAACGCGCCCGCACTTCCTCATCACCCCCTATGACCCTTATCAGGTCATCGCCGTAATCGTTACCGGCAACCGTCGCCATAGCCACCATCAACATCACATATAGCTTCACCACCGACATACTGACATCCTCATCATCATCCTCATCATCAGCAGCATCATCATCGTAATCGCCGTCACCAGTCTTCTCGCCTCCATTGGCCGTGCCGTCATCGTCGTCGTCGTCACCATCGCCATCATCATCGCGATTCTCGTCATCGCCGCCGCCATTGTCGACGTAATCATGAAATCGCGCCCGCCAGAGTTATCGGCCCGCACTGAATTTCCCGCGTGCCACTGCGGCCGTTGAGATGCGCTAGCGAGTTCAGATCGGGAACCGCAATCGTGGCCACATGGGTTTTGCCAAACAGGTTTCGTGTGTGCGGATGGGGTGTTTGTACGAGCAGTGGAGTTGACGGTTTCAAGTTGTGCAAACATCAGTTCGCACCACACATCGCACACCTCCCATATTACCACGTAGTTATTGCACCGCACAGCCTACGCCACATAGCTTGCACCACGTAGTTCGAGTTTGCACCTAATAATTTGGACCCCGTAGCTTACACAACATACTTTACACATAGCTTGGACCACAGCTTGCACCGCATACTCACACCACATGGATTGCACCAAACACTTACACAATCCAGGCTACTCCTGGTCGGCGTCCAGTCGGGTGAGGGAGGGGGCGTTTGGTAATTCGGAGCAGTGATGAAGCCCGCCCCGAAGGGTAAGAAGGAGGTTGACAGAAGAAGGTTCTGAAACCACCTTCGCCCAGAAGGCTCGGGGGGCTTCGATCATGATCGCTCCGGGTGGTGGTGAGCGCAAAAGTCTCCGGTTGGTGGTGAACGCACAAGAGAGGAGTTGAGCCGGTTGTTGCCAGAGGTGGCTTTGGTCCAAGGTGCTTTTGGCTTGTCGCGCCATCGTTGAGCCCTTGGGACCCTCTGGGCCTCGTGGGGGGCGCTCCGGTAGCCATCTGGGCCCCCCTCCAGGCTCCCTCTGACAACGCTGGAGAGGCGAGCAAGTGCGACTGCACAGTCCGATCTGGCCCCCAGGCTAGGCGACCGCCCCGGCCTGAGGCCGCGGAGGCGGCCTGCGCCTCCGCGGGCGGCGGCGGCACGGCCGCCGCGGTCCTGACGTCCTCCGTGGCCGCGGGCCTGCTCGCCGCAGCGGCGGCCAGCGCCCAGCGCCGCCCTCGCAAGGCGGCCTGCTTGCGCCTCTCGCTGCAGCTGCTGCTGCCGCCGTCTGCGCTCGATCCCCTCTGCGCACGGCCTTGCCTCTCCTTGCCTCCTCGTCCTCCTCCTTGTCTTCCCCCTCGTCCTCCTCCGTCACCCCTCCCCAGATCCTCCTGCTCCTCCTTTCTGACGCCCTCCATCGATCTCCTTATCAGTTACCACCCCTCTCGTACCACCGGACGTGTCCTGAGGCCGGGCCGGGTGTTTCGTTTGAGAACGTTTTGCCGTTGACGACCCTAAATCTAGAAAGTTCTCAAAATGTGTTTCTCGCTCCAGCGCCGCGCATTTACAATGGCGGGCGGAGAGCCAGCGGCTTTCAAAATGTTGTTCTCGGCGTGGCGCCTCGCACATCCAGTTTCAATGAACTAGATTGAGAAGGCCTTACGGCCAGTGCCTCCGACCCTGATGACGACGAGGAGGAGGAGGAGGAGGAGGAGGAGGAGGAGGAAGAAGAGCAGGAGGACCTTCTGAGGGGACAGTTCAGGGGCCTCTTGGGAGCCTCTTGGGGGGCTCTTGGAAGCCTCCTGCGGGCTTCTTGGGGCTTCCTGGGGCCTCTTGGGCGCCTCTTGGGCGCCTCTTGGGGTCCTCCTGGGGGCTTCGTGGTTCCTCTTGGGAGCCTCTCGGGGCCGAGGGCTCGAAATGTCTGTTCTGGTCCCTCGTCTGGGCACCCCCCTGGAGCCGTCTTGGAGGCGTTTCGGGCCGTCTTGCAGGCGACTTGGGCCGTCTTGCGGCCCTCTTGGGCCGTTTTGGGTCCCTCCTGGGCATCTTGGGGCGATCTGGGGGCCTCTTGGGCCGTCTTGGAGCGTCGGGAGCGGAAGAGGCGAGAACGCCGAAATGCTTCAGAGACCGATGGGAAATCAATGATTCTCCCTCTTGGGTCTCTCTTGGGAGTGCTCATGGACGCCTCTCGGGGCGTCTTGCAGGACTCTTGGGCCGTCTGGAGGCCGTCAAGGCGTCTTGGACAGATCGTTCGGCGATTCGAGGCCCTCTTGGACCGTCTTGGGGGCATCTTGTGGCGCTCTTGGCCCGTCTTGGAACTCTTTTGCGCCCCAGGACACCCCGGGGGGGAGTCGTATCTGACCCGGCCCCCCCCCCCTCGGGACCCCCCAGGGACCTTGTGCCCCGGGACCTGACACGGGACCCACCCCCACCCCTTGGCGGGGGAGGGATCAACGGGAATGGGCTCCCCTTCGACCCTTACGACGTTGCTCAATTTCGCTTTGGCTGGCGCGCTTGAGGAGGAGGATCCAGGGAAGGGTGGGGGAGAGCGGCGACGGGCCGAGGGAAAGGGGGGGCGCAGGGAAAGGGGGCGACAGAGACGACGACTAACAAATGACGGAGAAAACGACTCGAACGGACAAGCCCCTCACACACGCCGACAGCGTCGGCGGATTTTAGATATAAGGATGGAGGTCGGCACATTTTCAAAAAGCAGCTCTCGCTTGAAATGCCCTCCAACTCCGTAGGAGCCGAAGTTCAAAACGTGTAACGGTGAAGCGGATGGAGGGCGGCTTTTTTTCAAAATCGGGAGTTCGTTTGAGACCCTCGCGAATTTGGGCCCACGAATTTTTTAAGTTATGCACTCCTTACACGGATGGATGACAGAATTTCAAAATGGGGCAATCGTTGGACACTTCCTTGAACGTCCGTTTACTACCCCTTTGCGTTTCTTCCAGCCAGTGGATCTTTTACGAAACGGGGTATCGCCTGAGGAGTACGCGTCGGGACTTTCACGAGAAGAGGACTCGGGGAAAGAGGGTGTATTGTAGCATCGCTGCTGCATCCTAGGCTTACTATGGTCCTCTTTCTCCTCTCCCTCCTTCTCCTCCTTATCCTCCTCCTTCTCCATCCCTTTCCCTCAGAAGTAGCTCCTCCCCATCGCGACCCGAGGCTTGTCGGCACGGCGGACGGGGCGGTTCGCCTGAGACGTTCTCGCCACGTAGGAATATAAAAAAACTAGTCAAAAATAGTATGGGGACGACTTTTATATGATTGTCTGACTATGTTTAATCATGTTTGACTATGTTTTTTTGTCGTCCAAATCCGCCTGAAGGGGGACATGCCCGACCTAAGCTTAAGAATTGCAACTGCTTCAAGGATGGAGGGTGGACGTTTTCAAAATGGGGCTCTCGCCTCATCGCCGCGCCCACCCGTTGTCAAAAGCGAAACCACAGCTTCGAGGATGAAGCGGGGGAGGGGATGGTTGTTTTCAACATGGACTCTCCCTGCAGCGCTGCGCACACTCGTCTGCAAAAGTGCGGGACAGCTTCAAGGATTGAGGGGGGTTGTTTTCAAGGTGATGCTCTCGCATTAGCGCCGCGCGCATTCATGTGTAAGGTGCAAAGGCTTCAAAGGTTGAGGAGGGTTCGTGTTCGAATTGGGATCTCGCCTCAGCGCCGCGCACACTAGACTCAGAAGTTTGCAACAGCTCCAAAGATGGGGGGGTGGCCGTGTTCAAAATGGAAGCTCTCGCCCCAGCGCCGCGCAGATTCGCCTTAGCAGACATGCAGCGTCAAGGATTGACGGCGGGTCCTTTTCAAATGGGGTTTTCGTTGGGTATCTTTTCGAAGCTCCTGACCACGATTGTAAACTTGTGCAACAGCTTCACGGATGGAGGGTGGCCCTTTTTCGGCACGGGGATCTCGTTGGACACTTCGGTGATTGTACGACCATACGTGTTCGCATTCTGGGCTACCAGCTAGAAGCGTTCAAGACAGTTGCTTCCAAAACCCTTGTTCTCGCTTGAATGGCATGCTCATAGGGTGCTGGTATTTCGAGGTGGCGCTTCTCGTAGTGAACATGAAGGCTTGCAGGGGCGTGTGAGGAGTGGACTTGGGACTGGAAGGTGTATTGCAGCATCGGTGATGCACCTCGAGTGTGTGACGGTCCCCCTCTTCCTCCTCCTTCCGTCCTCCTCATCCTCCTCCTCCTCCTCTTTCTCCGCTTCCCCCTTCCCTCCATCCTCCTCCTCCTCCCTCCATCCTCCTCCCTCGCCGTCTCTCCTCCGCCCACGCCGCCGCCCTCCCTCCCAGGCGGCGGTCGCGGCGCGGGCGGCCGAGGAGAGGCCGATGGTCGCAGACCTCAAGGGCCCCGTGAACATGGGGGAGGGCGCGGCGGAAGGCCTGCCTTGGTGGTGGGAGGCCCCGCGGCCCGGCCGAGGGGAGCGAGGACCAGGAATGGCCTGCGGGAAGCCGCCTCGCCCCGCCCCCTCGGGGCCTCAGAGACGTGGGGGCGTGGATTAGCGACGGGTCCCGCTTCCATGGGAAGTCACGGATTTCCACCGCCAGGCGAGGGGGCACCGGCCGCATTTTGGGGAGGGCACCTCCCCCGATCCATGGATGTGGCGACCGCGCGCCAAATTGATGGATCGCTGATCCATGTTTGCGCGCCCCCGAGTCAGAGCGCCGGATCTTACAGGATCCTTCAGGGCCAGGGGTGCACTGACCCAGGCTTGGGTGCAGGATCCCGCAGGAGCTCGCAGGATCGTGCAGGATTCTGCAAGGCCTAACTGACCCACGTCTGGATTGACCTGGGTCAGAAGATCCCACCCTCCGGGCAGAGGAGTGCGGGGGCCTTCGGGAAGCCTCGGCCCTGGCACACACCGCACGGACAAGCTCGCCTTTTCGCTGGGCGGGGGGGTCAGGAGCAAACTCGCCACTGGACGAGCAAACCCAGGGCTCTACGTGCACCCCACCGCCGCCCGCGTTGTATAAGGTCGGTTCAGGGAGGGTTCCCTAATGATCTTAGTGTTTGTTGGATGCTCTTGTGCATCCTGGGGGAGGGCACCCTGGAATGTTCTTCAGTTTGGGCCAGCGGAGGGTCGCATGTTCGTGAAGGATATTATTCTGTCTCAGGTCCGACCATACTCCTTCATCCGCACACTCTCCGACTCGATCCTGCTTCGCTTGGCAGCCGCGAGGCGCGCCCCTCCCTCAGCACTGGCGCCGTGATGACTGGTGCCCGGCTGCCTGCGGCAAATCCCGCCACCGTGCTTGTGCAGCAGCGCAGCAGCCACGCGCAGAGGGGCTAGGGGGAGGGGGAAGGCTTCTTAGAAGCCTTCTTACTTCTCAGAAAACGCGGGCCTTCTCTGTAGATGTAGAGCCAGCGCCTTCTAAGAAGCAGCCTCCTTCTTAGAAGCCTTCCCCGCTCCTCCTGCCTCGTTGTGCGCGCCGCCAAAAGAAGGAGATTGAGTGTAGGAACGGCGCAATTCTTACGAGTGGTCTGAGTTGGGGCGGGTCGTGAACCCCGACATCGTCTTCGTCCGCGGGGTAGGCAGGAGGTCGAGTTCACGCACCGCGGCAGTGCATCGAGTGGTCTGAACTGGGGAGGGTCGTGATCTCGAACTCGTCTTCGTCCGCGCGATAGGCAGGAGGAGGTGGAGGAGGAGGAGGAGGAGGAGGAGGAGCAGGAAGAGGAGGAGAAGGAGGAGGAGAAGGAGAAGGAGAAGGAGAGAGGAAGTAAATCAACTCTCCAGTCAAGACGCTTAAGTTTGCCGAGCGTGAAAGAGAAAGGGAGAAACTGAGGACGAGGAGGAGAGGGCTTCTTGGGGCCCTCTTGCGGCATCCTTGGAGCTTCCTGAAGGCCTCCTAGGGTCTGTTGGGGGCCTCCCGGGGCCTCTTGGGGGCTTCCTGGGCCGTCCCGGAGCCCTCTTGCAGCGCTTCAGGGCCCTCTCAGGGCCTTCTTGGGAGCCCCTTGGGCGATCTTTGGGTCCTCTTGGGCCGACCTGGGGCCCTCTTTGGGGGCCCTTGGGCTGTCTTGGAACTATCTTTGGGCCTCTTGGAGGCCTCTTGAGCCATCTTGGGCGGTCGGAAACCCCAACAGGCGAGAACCTCAAAATCCATCAAAGACCTGCGCAAGAAATATGGTTCGTTTGGGCCTCGGACTCTCCTGGAGGGCCCCTTGGAGCCCTCTTGGGCCGTCTTGGAGCTTTCTTGGGCCGTCTTGAAGGCCCAAAAGGGCCGTCGCGCGGCGAGGGGGCGGGGGGCGGCCCTGGAAAACTGCGAAAAACTTCCAAGGTAACAGAAGAGCATTCTAACTCGCCCCGACGGGCACGAGGCTCGGTGGCGGACGGGCGCCACTGGGCAACTTGAGAACCTCGAGTTAGTCGAACTCCTGATATCATCGACCATGCGTCAGACCATGATGTCATCGACCATGGTGGGCTGGAGATTCATCGCGGCTCGAGGATGGAGTACATGCGTCTTGATAGTGATGTCTCTGTTTCTGGCTCGACTTCCTGACCTACTCTCGCGCTTCCTCACATTATGATTATCATGGTTATTATTTTTCTTATCACTATCAACAGCGCGGTGCGTCTTCATGGTTGCCCGATTAGTGCACTGCTTTGAACAGTTCGAGTAATTAGCAGCAGAAGTCGTACGTCAATCTTCACCGCGATCAGCAAAGCAGCTAGCTGCACTTTCGAAGTGTATTGGAATGTTTTGTATACTTAGCTGTTTCTTTGACCCGGGGGGATTGGGTGGGGGGTTGGGGTGAGGTGGGTGGGTCGGTGAGGGCGCCAGAGTAATAATTCAATTGAATTTGTGGGGGATAGTTTCCATTGTTCCGATCGATATTGCACAGCACAATTCAACTCGGCGACCGCATGCGCATCGAACTCAGGTCAAGGACATAATCAATATCGAGCCTGAGTCGTGAACATTCTGGAAACATTTGATTTGGGCAAAAATTTCACGAATAAGGAGAAGAACTTAATCCCGTTCAATATGGAATTGGAAAGATAGATACACTAACATAAATTCAGCCGGGTAGGATTATGGCTCGGCTGATTGATCTCTTGATTGATCCTTAGCGGGGGGGGTCGGGGGCAGGCAGGTTAAATTTTAGAAAGTTCCTTCTCGGCTGCATCGGCGCCGAAGTGTGCAATTGAAGCTTTATTGGAAACCTGTCGCCGTGATCTACACGACGCGCTCTTCTACCGATCTGAGATTCAAAGTGTTCAGTCAGAATTTGTAAACATGTGTTTTCAAAGTTTCTGAAACGTTTTTGGCTGAAAAACATCTTTGACAGAAAAGCGGTTTTCCAATGTCGAGAACTTGCTTTCCTCTCGTGACAACCACATTTGTTGGTTGACAAAACGCATCGTCGTAAACCCTCGAATCGCAATATGTCCAAATAAACAGCCCAAGTTCACCGCAAGAAATCCAAAGACTGTGGCCGTGGCCACCGGCGACAAGCTGCGGCTTACCTTGACGAATTCCTACCATGTGTGCCACCAAGCGGCCTCGTGGACTGGCGTTAGCGGGGCAGCAGTTTGCGACGCGACTGCTTGCAGCGACTCTTCACTCTACGTGTGTCCGAACTCTACCGCCGACATTGGCACCTTGTTGACAAGGCGGTACTTATGAACGGGGATCTGTTTGTTGGTGGGAGGGGTGTTTGTGGTCTGAAAAATGCGTCTTCGTGTGTTGCTCAGCATCACTCATCTTATGCCACTCTTTCGCTAGATGCGGCGCGATTTTTAAACATGAAATCGAGAACGTTGCATAAGTAGTGCAACTGTCATTCGTATGTATGTGAATTTGCTCGGTCTTTGTATAGACGAACATATGACAGCTCCTCTCAAAATCATGAGTGCCCGACAAGAGTAACCAACGTTGGGCGAACAACTGACAACATGTAGAAACCTCGGCCTTCGATCCTTCCTTAGATGTGGCAGAAGGTTTGCTCCCAGTTGCCGACGCGATTGGTGCTCGGGTGCGGGATCCACCGCACATCAGTACGTTGGGCTCCCCAGCAGAAGGAAAGCGGTTGCACCTCGTAGTCTGTATATGTTTTCACGGGGATGTTGTTTGACGTTGTTGCGCGCGCCGTTGCACAGGAACAAGTAAATTTAGCGAATAAGCGGAAATGTGTTACAGCAGGCGAGGATGGAATTTAGCAAACGGTTGAGTTTGGAGCGGTGCGGGTGATGTTTCGCAGACGCGTTTCCCGTGGTTATCAGGTTGGGTTTGGAAGGTGCAGAAGCTGGAACCTTAAAAAGGGAAAAGGTCACCCAGAAACAAGCAGGGCAGAAGTCTGAATTCAATTGGAAGACAAAATGGGCGAAAATCTTGGAACCGAGCCCACACAACAATGTGCGAATCCTGTAAAATGCGAAAAACGTGTTAACAGGTTTAGTTTCTACTTGCAAACAATCGGTTCCCACAGCTTCTCCGAAATGGGGTATCAATTCGTCTCCCCCCCTCCTCTCCATCTTTCGTGTTGAGTTGCCGAACAAGTACCGTTCAGGAAGAGCAGTTCGTTCTGGGACGAGTACGCGGGAGTTCCTACTTCAGCGGTTGGGTACCACTGCAGCTTCGCGTGCGAAGTCGCCACCCATTGTACAGCTGGCCCGTACATCAATGCACAGGTGGTTCATCCAGTAAATCGGAACAGTTATTTACGCCTCCATCCTTCGATAGATGCTCAGAGGACGCGAGCATCGCGGAAATGGCGAGGTCTGATGTTCATCCGTTTCAGTATCCATAGTTCTATCGACACACATTCCCACAAGATGACGACCACCCCATGTTATGAAGGCCCACCTCGCTCTACGATGGGTGAGCACCACCCTACGAAACAATCTTGGGCCATCTCGTACAACACAGGATGTCACTCGAACGCACCATAAGACGTTGAAGTGAATATTGTGAGGTATACGGCGGAGTGCAGTTATCCTCCCTCGCCAGCACCCCTTCTAGCCTCGTAGAGAAACCTTGGGTTCGCTCCGACGCCCCCCCGTTCCAGAGTATCGAATACATCTTTGGTGTAGACTAAGCTGGGGACTGTAAGAGCACCCAAATGATAAATGCGTGTCTCGTTGCATTTCAAATCGTATTGGTTGGAGATGGATTTTAGCACCTGCTGAGGTAATAGGATTACATGTTAGATGTTCAAGAATTGTGGTCAGAAGTTCCACAATTGTAAGTACATGTAAAACCCTGGCCACGCATGTATGATGCAGCTTTCTATCCAACATCATCATTGGTGAATTTCCACCGAGTTTGCTATGCGTAGTGCTACGAGTTCTATTTGCGCTACGTGGCTACGTCTGCTCGCGAATGTGACGTGTTTCTTACGTACGTTGTCACATTGTTTTTTTGTCTTATCCGTCTGCAATGATCCCGCATGGTTTCACGTATCAATTACAAAGAGGAAAGGCTGAGCAGTTTGCTTCCTGCAGGAATCTTCAGACGAAAACGGATTACACCGTTTGCGTTAAAACTCTCGGCCAAAACCACGGAAGATGCCTGACCTGTTCTTCATGTTTGTCAGTTTGGGTCGCAATCTTCCGATCCATGAGAGAAAAATACTTCGGGAAGCGGTGGACAAGCGACGTTCCGGATCAATGGGTTTCAATGTTTTGATCTTTGATTTGTGATGTTCTATTTGATGGAGTACAGTCTCAACGCATCAATTAAGAACGTTTTTTCACATTTGAGCTCTTTGGTTCGATTCTTACGACAATTCTCTCTGCGACATCGACCGCCTGCATTGGCCCGACGTTCCGGCGACTGCGCCGCGACCACGAGGAGTTTCGACGCGACCCGGTGCACGGCTGCCCCGAGTACCCGGTCACCGACATCTTTCTTCAATGGCACGCTGACCTTTCTCCGCTCGACGGCCCGCTTGAGGTCGTGTATGGCTGACTATCCGAAGTCGCCCCCGCGACTCTGGTCTCCCTGGCAGAAGACCCCGTCGTTCCGTCACCCGGACTTCTACGGGTCTTGGCTCTGCCTCGACATGCTGCAGGGCTTCATCGGGTCGGAGGACCGCCTGTCCAGCTGGTCATCGGCGCACAGCGTGCGGGCGACTCTGTACCAGCTCCAGGGGTTCCTCTTCGACCCCGCTCCGCAGGACCACGGCGGGCCGCGTCGGGCCGCGATCTCCGCCGCAGCTACGGCGCCGCGGTCCGCTGCGGGTGCCCCGGGCCCCGGCGCGACGCGCTCACGGGGGAGCGCTTCCGGCCGCACGCCGAGGCCGTCGCGGGCCTCCGGCGCCTCCTCCGCGGGTGGCCTTGCCCGTGGCGCCGGCGCTCGCGCTCGCGCCCGCAGCACGCGGCGGCCCGGCGCCGCGGCGCCCGCGGCCCGCCCCGGCGGCGCCGCGCTCCGCGGCGCCGCGCGCGGAGCGCGCGCGCCGGACCCCGTGGGTGCCGGGCACCGTCGAGCGGGTCGAAATTTTGGCTCTTTATTCGTGTCATCGTATTTACCGAGCATTTTGGTCGGGTGGAGGGCAGAGTGTGAAATCTGAAATGCCGTTTCGATGGGTTTTCGAGGCCTGAATCTGCAAAAGGTGGATCACAAGGCGGATTGATTTTCAAGGTGCAGAAGCCCACATGGATTTCACCATGAGCCCTCCACCCTGAGAAAATGCTCAGATTCAGTTTCCTGCGTACGTCTCCAGAAAAAGCGTGGAAGAAGAGTCGAGTTGAATTGAAGTCGTTGCCTTTGTTTCTGCACAAACGGAGTGCGTCAAGGTCGGGCCCTGCGGCCTCTTCGCCGGGGGGGGGCCGGGGAACAGAAGAAGGAGAAGGAACGCATTGAAGTAGATATTATACCATGATATGCCATCTGATTCTGATGTGTCGGAAAATCTCATGACATTCCCGAGGACTGTTCGAAGCCACGGTGTTTGTGAAGATTTCAAGATCCAGAGAATTCAAGATTGTCCGTAGAAATTTGGCTCAAGTGATTTCGGCTTGCACAGATCAAGTGTGTCATGCCATCATTTTTGGCGGCTCGCGTGTCCGTGTTGCTTTCTCTTGCGGCCGCGGCTTTGGAAGAAGATCGCAAAGCATGGGACAGGCTTATTGCGTGGATCGATGAAAGTGGCGGCGACGTTACCCAAAAGTTGTACGTAGACAGTGTGGAAGGTTTACGGGGAATCTTCGCCTCTGCTGACATTGAGAACGGCGAGAAGTTGTACCACATCCCGGCTAAGAACATCATCCACGGGCTCCACGATCTTTGCGACGTCGTGAAGAAGCTTCGGCACGAGATGAAACTCGGACCCGAAAGCTTCTATGCACCGCTGCTCGACATGCAGGCATGGGATCCATCGATATCCGTTCCGGCTTTCTGGGACGTGGCCGATCTCGCTTTGCTAGACAGGACGCCCCCTTTCGATTGGAGTCGCCATAAAGAAGTGTACGACTCGCGGAAGGAATCTTGCCCAGAGATCGCGGACGATATTGGGCTTCGCGCGATGGAGTATTATGTGGCAGTGTCGAATACTTGTTTTGAACGGATACCTCCGGGGGGAGAGGCGTCGAAAGGCGACGAAAGTTACGGTTGTATAAGTCCAATATACGGCGCTTTCAACCACCACAACGGTTTGCAGAATTTCAGGATAGAAATCTCAAAGGAGGGCGACATGACCGGATTCGCGTCGCGATTCATTCCCGCTGGCGGCGAGATATTCAATTCTTTTGGGGAGGGCACACCAGAAACCTTCAGGGATTATGGCTTCGTCGAGCCGCAGCCTCAGAAGTGGTGGTTCCAGTCAGGTGGCAAGCGGTTTGATTTCATGCTGGATAACGACAAAGTGCATTTCCCCGCGGGCAACATACCTTCGACATTTTCGACCGCGGCCGCTGCCTGGCTGCGGGACCCGCCCATGATCAGCATGGATCGCACGCCGGAGCAAAAAAAGATTCAGGCGTACCATAGGGCGTTTATCGACGCTGTCCGAAAGGCTGAAAAAGCAGCTCTGGAAGAAGCCAATAAGGAATTGTAGACCTTGCTGCGCTGGAGACAGACGGGAAACTGTTGTTGGAAAGTTCAAGAAGCTGTCTGGTGTGGATGAATTTCCGGCCACAGTCTGAGGCACCGCCGCGCTTTTTCACAAGTAGTAAAGTTTGCAAGTTCTGGCGGGGGCTACAGAACATCTCGCTGGTAAAGAAGGGTAATCGGAATTTTCCTTCGGGCCCTCAAGGGATGCCGTCTCGAGCCAACGGGGTCCACACGCCCATCGATGAAGATATTGTACCCAGCAAGTGCGGCCTCGCATGAGAAAGAAGCCAGTAACTGCTGTTATTTTACAGACGATATTCGGAAGAGCAGTGTGTCAATGGGAGGTTCTACATGGTATTTTGCAATTGGCAATGGCGCAGCGAGAGGGGAAAGGGGTACTGAACATGCTTGCCGCCACACGAGCAGCAATATTTGTTTGTAGTCACAGTTGATTGCGAAGACCTTACGGCCGGTGCCGCCGACCCTGAAGGGGGACGTCGACGACGACGGCGGCGGTAGCGGCGGCGACGATGACGACGCTGACGTGGGCCCGAGTCCTCAGGGATGTTTCTGAAGTTTCGGGTCTCTTGGGAGTCTCTTGGGAGCCTCTTAGGAGCCTCTTGTGGGCCTTTTCGGGTGTCCTGGATGCCTCTTGTGGGCTTTTGGGGGCCTCTTGGGAACCTCGTGGGACCTTCTGGGAGCTTCTCGAGGCCGAGGGGCTCGAAATGTTCGTTCGGGTTCCCCGTCAAAGCACGCTCTTGGAGCCGTCTTGGGGGCCTCTTGGGCCGTCTTGGAGGCGTTTTGGGCTGTCTTGGGGTTCTCTAGGGGTGTTTTGGAGCGCTCTTGGAAGCCTCTTAGGCCGTCCTGGGGCGATCTTGAGGGCCTCTTCGGATGTCTTGAAGCGGTGGGAAGCGGAAAAGGCGAGAACGCTCAAATCTGTCCAACCTTTAAAAAAACACGGGTTTCTCTATTTGGCCCCATTCGGGAGTGCCTTTGGAAGCTTCTTGGAGCGTCTTGGAGGTCTCCTGGCCAGTCTGGGAACGTGAACGCGTGTTGGACCGATCGTTTGGCGATTGGGGCCCTCTTGGGCCTCTTGGGGCACTCTCGGCTTGTTTTGGTATTGTTTGCAGCCCCAGGACCCCCCGAGGACTCGAACAGACAAAGCTCTCATACACGCCGACAGGGTCGGCGGATCACGGGAAGTGCCTCCGCCGTGCACCGTTGGTTATGGGGAATATTTTGTTTTAAAAAGACACGGATTTCGTCCCGGAATTCGCTGGTGGATGATGGGAAGCGCGCTAAGACTCGAAGAGTCGCGCGATGGACATTGATTCCGACCTGGAGGGAAAATATTGTTCAATTGGGGAGGTGCAGGAGGGGAAGGGCTCGGGGTCGCTCCGTGGCTAGACCCTGGCGGATGGCGGGAAGCGCGCTAAGACTCGAAGAGTCGCGCGATGGACGTTGGTTCAGTCCCGGAGGGAAAATGTTTTTCAACTGGGGAGGTGCAGGAGGGGAAGGGCTGGGGAGTGCTTCGTGGCCAGACCCTGGCGGATTACCCAGAACGGTCATTTCGCCTGAGACATCCCCACAAAATGGAGATCTCGGAGGATCTAGTTTAGGGCGCTTTATGTTAAAAATGAAGCTCTCGCTGCAGACATCCTCGAAACATCGAGATATCTCTGGCGAAATTCGTCGATCTCCGAAAATGAGAGTTCCCCCTGAGACATTCTCGAACAAAAATAGATGCCGAAAGAGCTGTGATTAGACCTCTTCTGTTAAAAATGTAGCTCTCGCCCGAGACATCCTCGAAAAAAGGAGATGTCCAGGTAGCTTGCGAATTCGTCGTACTCACAAATGAGGCTCCCGCCTGAGACGTCCTCCAAAAAAATGCGATGGGCAATACGCTGTCTTACGACATATCTTGGGGGCATTCTTTGGAGGACCCCCAAGACGGCCCAAATGGCAAAATCTTCAAAACAAACCACGTTCTTGTTTAACCATTTCGCTCAAAAGTAGGCGTTTCGCTTGATATATCATCAACATTTGCATCGTCGTCGTCGTTGTCGTCGTCGTCGTCGTCGTTGTCATTATCATCGTCATCGTCGGTGTCGTCGTCCTCCTCCTCGTCATTGTCGTCGTCGTCATCGTCGTCATCATCGTAGATGCGCCAGCGGGAGGTGCGCCTCGTCTGCACTCGCGCGGAAAGCAAACTCCACTTGACATGGGGGAACGCGAGGGGGGGGGGTGCGGGTCTGGAGACGGACAATGCCGAGATGCTCCGGTGGGAGGTACGCCTCGTCTGAACTCGCGCGGAAAGTAAACACGACCTGACATAGGGGAACGCGAGTGGGGAGGTGTGGGTTTGGAGACGGGTGATGCCGAGATGTGCCAGCGGGGGTTGCGCTTCGTCTGAACTCGCGCGGAAAGTAATCTCCACCTGACATAGGGTAGCGCGAGTTGGGAGGTTGGGGATCTGGAGACGGATAATGCCGAGATGCGCCAGCGGGGGGTGCGCTTCGTCTGAAGTCGCGCGGAAAGTAAGCTCCATCTGACATGGGGGAGCGCGAGTGGGGAGGTTGGGGGGCTCGACGCAGATCGTTCCGAGATGCACCAGCGGGGGGTGCGCCTCGTGTGAACTCGCGCGGATAGCAGAGTCGTCTTGGGGAACGCGAGCGGGGAGATAGGGGGTCTGGAGACGGATAATGCCGAGATGTGCCAGCGGGGGTTGCGTTTCGTTTGAACTCGCGCGGAAAGTAATTTGGACCTGACATATGGGAACTCGAGCGGGGAGATGGGGTCTTGAGACGGATAATGCCGAGATGCGATAGCATTGTATCGTGGTGATGTTGCACGTTCTTGCAACGCTTGTCGCTTTCACGCGCTTCCCGTTCATGTCAAGAAAGGATGCCATTTCGCCCGAGACATCCTCACAAAATGGAGATCTCGGAGGATCTAGTTTAGGGCGCTTTATGTTAAACATGAAGCTTTCGCTGCAGACATCCTCGAACAATGGAGATCTTGAAATCTGTCGCGCAAGTCGCCGGTCTCCAAAAATGAGCGTTCCGCCTGGGACATCCTCGAAAATAATAGATGCCGAAGGAGCTGTTATTGTACTTCGTATGTTCAAAATATAACTCTCGCATGAGACATCCTCGAAAAACGGAGATGTCCAGGGAGCGTGCGAATTTGCCGTATCTCAAAAATGAGGCTCCCACCTGAGACATCCTCCAAAACATGCGTTGTGCAACACGCTGTCGTACGACATAGATTGGGGGCATTCTTTGGAGGACCCCCAAGACGGCCCAAAAGGCAAAATCTATAAGCAAACAATGGTGTTTCAACCATTTCGCTCAAAAGTATGCGTGTCCCTCGATGCATCGTCAAAATCTGCGTCGTCGTCGTCGTCGTCGTTGTCGTCGTCGTCGTTGCCATTATCATCGTCATCGTCGGTGTCGTCGTCCTCTTCCTCGTCATTGTCGTCGTCGTCACTGTCGTCGTCATCGTCACCGTCGTCGTCATCATCGCCGTCGCCGTCGTCATCGTCGTCGTCATCGTAGATGCGCCAGCGGGAGGTGCGCCTCGTCTGAACTCACGCGGAACGTAAACTCCAATTGACATAGGGGAACGCGGTTTGGAGACGGATAATGCCGAGATGTGCCAGCAGGGGGTGCGCTTCGTCTGAACTCGCGCGGAAAGTAAATTCGACCTGACACAGGGGAATGCGAGTGGTAAGATAAAGGGTCTGGAGACGGATAACGCCGAGATGCGCCAGTGGGAGGTGCGCCTTTTCTGATCCCGCGCGGGAAGTAAGCTCGACCTGACATTAGGGAGCTCGAGTGGGGAGATGGGGTCTTGAGACGGAAAATGCCGAGGTACGAAAGAGCGCGCGCGCAGCGCCGGGAATAAGGAAAGGGTGGCCCCAGGTTCAAGCTACCCCCTCCCTCCCTTCCAAAAGGGGGGGAGCTTCCGAAGCTACCCCCCCCCTCTCTTCTGTAAGGGTTTCTAAGCTAGGGGGGCCCTGACTAAAGGGGGGGGCCTCGAAGCTACCCCCCCCTCCCTCCCTTTCCGGAGCAGAAGGTGAGCCCGGGCTTCCCTTTCAAAGTGGGGGGGGGCTTCGGAAGCTACCCCCCTCCTTTTTTTGTCTGGACACAGGGGGGGCGGCTTCAAGCTACCCCCTCCACCCTCCTTTGCAAAGGGTGGGGGGCTTCCGAAGCTATCCCCCCCTCCCTTACGGGGTTATGGCAAAATGGTTGAATCCTTGCAGACAGGTGCGCACCGCAGCGCTAGAGAACGCATTGGAAAATAACGTCGACCCGTGGTTCGTTTTCTTGTTGTCTTGTTTTCTCGTCCCCTGGTTCATAGTCTCGGTTTCTCTGGCCCTGATTCCTTTTACCGTTTGCTCGTTGTTTTGGCCCCTGGTTCGTATTGTTTCTCGTGTTTTCTGTCCCTGGGTCGCGGTCTCGTTTTCTCTGCCCCTGGTTCGTGTTCTTGTTTTCTCGTGTTCTCGGCCCCTGGGTCGTGGTCTCGTTTGCTCGGATCCTGGGTCGTGCTTTTGTTTTCTCGGACGCTGGTTAGTATTCTCGTTTTTTCGGTGTCTCGGCCCCCGGGTGGTGGTCTCGTTTTCTTTGACCCTGCTTCGTTTTCTCGTTTCCTCGTTTTCTCGGCTCCTGGGTCGTGGTCTCGTTTTCTCGAACCAAGCGTTTTCTGGAGATCTCGGCCCTTGGGTCGTGGTTTCGTCGGACCCTGGTTCGTTTTCTCGTTTTCTCGGCCCCTGGGTCGTGGGTCGTTTTAGCGTTTTCTCGTTTCCTCGGCCCCTGGGTCGCGGTCTCGTTTTGTCTGGGCCTGGCTCGTTTTCTCGTTGTCCTGTTTTCTCGGCCCCTGGGTCGTGGTCCAGTTTTCTCGGACCCTGGTTCGTTTTTCTCGTTTTCTTTTTAGTTCGTCCCCTGGTTCGTAGTCTCGTTTTCTCGGGCCCCGGTTCCTTTTATCGTTTGCTCGTTTTCTCTGCCCCTGGGTCGTGGTCGTGTTTTCTCGGACCTTGGTTCGTTTTCGCGTTTTCTGTGCCCTTGGGTCGTGGTCTCGTTTGCTCGGACTTTGGTTTGTTTTCTCGTTTTCTAGTGTGGTCGGCCCCTGGGTCGTGGTCGTCTCGTTGTCTCGTTTTCTCGGCTTCTGGGTGTTTGTGTTGTTTTTTCGGGCCCTGGTTCGCGGTCTCGTTTTCTTGTTTTCTCGGCCCTTGGGTCATGGTCGCATGTTTCCTCGAACCCTGGTTAGTTTTCTCGTTTTCTCTGCTCCTGGGTCGCTTTCTAGTTTTCTCGGACCCTGGTTCGTTGTTTGTTTTCTCGGCTCCTGGATCGTGGTCCCGTTTTCTCTGACCCTGGTTCGGTTTCTCGTGTTCTCCGTTTCTCTGCCCCTGGAGTGTGGTTTTGTTCTCTCTGTCCCTGGTTTGTTTTCTCGTTTTCTCGACCCCTGGGTCTTGGCATCGTTTTCTCGGACGCTGGTTTGTTTTCTCGTTTTCTCGGCCCCTGAGTCATAGTCTCGTTTT